ACACAGAACCGTCCGGCGACACGCCCTGGGGGCGACATATGGGCGCGCTCAGGGCTCAGATACAGGTCTCGCGAGATTAAGCGGTAGGTTTTGCACTTTTACATTTCCGGTTATATCTCAGAAACTAATCGATCTACGATGAAGCCATTTTACACGATCATGGCCGGCTTGTTACCCAACAAGTCGATCGCATCTTTAACACTTAAAAGCTTAAGACGACGAAGATATAGCCTGAAGTACACTAAATTTTCTAGGTGCAAAACCTACCGCTAAAACCCGCGAGCCCTGTACCATGCACAAGGGCCCCGGGTGCAGTGTCTGTGTGTCCCTGACTGACCTGCAGCGGTGAAGCTGTCACAGAAAGCACCTGTTCATTGCCCAATGGATCCAGCCCAGTTCCGGCCGGCCGAGTGCCCGCACGTACGCAGCCAGTGTTACGGTCTGTGTTCGATCTATGTTACGGTCTGTGTTCAATCTATTTTACGCCCTGTGTAACGACCTGCGTTACGGCTTGTGTTACGGTCTGTGTTACATACCCTGTTCTGGGCGGTCTCCACCTTGACCCTCTTAGCGTCCCAGAGTCGGTATTGGTAGACGTGCGCGTTCTCTGCCGAGACGTCCCGCAGGTGAACGAGCAGGTTCTGTAGGCCGACCAGCGTCTCAGCTGGCACCTGAGAAGGTCAGGAGAGGGTAGGAGAGGTCAGTGGTGTACTGGTGTCTGACATAGACCAGCGGACAGGGGGAGGGGAAAGGGAGAGGAATCTGGTGGCGCAGAAGGACCGTTCCGCGCTTGAAAGTGGACATATCTGAGGACCGTTCCGCGCGCGCTGACACTGCCTCTAGAACCGTTCTGCGAGCAGTCAGACATGCAGACCGGATTGATGTTTTGAAACTTTGACATAATAAACTTTAATTAAATCGACACAGGTACTCTAACCGCATGTGTTTTTTATATCGCGGACAAAAAAGTGGGGATTGTTAGGGTTAAGCAGGGAGTCACCGATGTTAGATCCCTCTCTGGGTCCTTTCATAGGTCACGGTCCTGACCCGAGATAGCTGAGCTGTGTCGCAGCCCTGACCTCAGGGCTCAGACAGCTGAGCTGTGCACGCCGTCGGCTCGGCCGTCAGTCGCCACAGCCGCTGACGCCAGTGTCCAAACAGCTCCAAACAATATCCGGCCCTGTATAGCAGGATAAGCCATCAGAGGCGGGAGTGATCAATGGAGGGACGCGAAACACTAACGCCAAGGGGATGACAACTGCTGAGGAATAAAGAAACTACATGCAGGTACACTGGGAACACGTCATGCTGGAGTTGACGTGTTCCCAGCCCGTCCTGTACCATGCAGCCCGTTCCGGTGATCACTCCCGCAAGGCCGGATATTGTTGGGAGCTGTTTGGACACTGGCGTCAGCGGCTGTGGCGACTGACGGCCGAGCCGACGGCGTGCACAGCTCAGCTGTCTGAGGTCAGGGCTGCGACACAGCTCAGCTATCTCGGGTCAGGACCGTGACCCCCTATGAAAAGACCCAGAGAGGGATCTAACATCGGTGAGTCCCTGCTTAACCCTAACAATCCCTACTTTTTTCTCCGCGCTATAAAAAAACACATGCGAGTTATAAAAAACACATCCCTATCAACCAGTCCCAAACAGTGTACCAAATTTGAGCGCAATCGGCGTGGCAGTTCAGGGTTCAAGATATATGAGCAACCCAAAATCGCTACTGCAGCAGAATAACGAACACTCTTGGCCCTTCACGTCGCACGTGTCACGACGCTCACCATGATACATCAGTTGTAGTCAATAACTCACCAAGATACATCAGTTGTAGTCAATAACGAGATGGAAGGGATAGGATTACGCGCAACAAAGAGTAACGCAGGTCAATCAGCCCAGCGGTTGCTGACTTACAAGCCTATTAAAAACGTTACAGGAATACGCTTCGCTAGCTCAAAAGTAATAGAGTAGAATCATTACATATATGCAATTGCTACTATTTCCTGGTTTTCTATATAGGCCAAGACTTGGTAACTGATAACTCTGCTGCCCTGTAATGGGTCCGGCCCGCTGTGGCGAGTGAAGACACTCGCTCTGACTGACTGGACCGCCAGCCGAGACGCTGCTGACTCTGGTGGTGAATGGTGAGCGGAAGAGGAGAAAGTTTACGCCAAAGCTGAAGCAACTCTACATTGCCGTACAGCTAATACGCTTTTCACCTGTTGGCCAGTAGAGGAACTAACAGTTACTACAACTGACCGTCAGAAGCACCCAACACACACCGTGCCGCTCCCAGTAACATACCAGGATGTAGACCCCAGTCGGGCAGCGCTCCGGCGTCCGGCAGCCGCAGCTGGTCCAGCAGTGACAGCAGCCGGCCGGCGCTGCCCTCCGGCGCCGTCCGACAGGCGTTCACGGCCACCACCCTGACGGACATTTGTTACACGGTCAGCAGAGAGCCGACACTCGGTCAGCGGACAGTGGCGTTGGGTCACCGGATGGCAGAGCATCGCCGCAGCACACAGACCAGACAGGACTGTGCCGACAACGCAACCCCGTTGGAGTAACATGACCCTAATAAATGCACCGAAAATGCTCTGGTCTGTCTACATTACTTATAATAATAAAAAAATGAAGGAACAACTGAGATGAGGGAAAGGAGTGAGGCGTCTGTTAGGGTCCCCGTGCAATACGCCCGGTGCGGTGACTGACCTCTGCGCCGCTAGCTGGAGAGCTGGTTAACCCGGCTGACGACCTTCTGTACCTCATCGGCGGAGAGCGGGTGGCCGTTGGTGGCCCGCCGCAGCCCGTCCCGGTAGCCGGACGCCCCATCCGGCGGCACGCCCTGGGGAGTCATAGCATAACACTCAGGCAGGTTCAGGTTTCAGTCCGACACACAGAACCGTCCGGCGACACGCCCTGGGGGCGACATATGGGCGCGCTCAGGGCTCAGATACAGGTCTCGCGAGATTAAGCGGTAGGTTTTGCACTTTTACATTTCCGGTTATATCTCAGAAACTAATCGATCTACGATGAAGCCATTTTACACGATCATGGCCGGCTTGTTACCCAACAAGTCGATCGCATCTTTAACACTTAAAAGCTTAAGACGACGAAGATATAGCCTGAAGTACACTAAATTTTCTAGGTGCAAAACCTACCGCTAAAACCCGCGAGCCCTGTACCATGCACAAGGGCCCCGGGTGCAGTGTCTGTGTGTCCCTGACTGACCTGCAGCGGTGAAGCTGTCACAGAAAGCACCTGTTCATTGCCCAATGGATCCAGCCCAGTTCCGGCCGGCCGAGTGCCCGCACGTACGCAGCCAGTGTTACGGTCTGTGTTCGATCTATGTTACGGTCTGTGTTCAATCTATTTTACGCCCTGTGTAACGACCTGCGTTACGGCTTGTGTTACGGTCTGTGTTACATACCCTGTTCTGGGCGGTCTCCACCTTGACCCTCTTAGCGTCCCAGAGTCGGTATTGGTAGACGTGCGCGTTCTCTGCCGAGACGTCCCGCAGGTGAACGAGCAGGTTCTGTAGGCCGACCAGCGTCTCAGCTGGCACCTGAGAAGGTCAGGAGAGGGTAGGAGAGGTCAGTGGTGTACTGGTGTCTGACATAGACCAGCGGACAGGGGGAGGGGAAAGGGAGAGGAATCTGGTGGCGCAGAAGGACCGTTCCGCGCTTGAAAGTGGACATATCTGAGGACCGTTCCGCGCGCGCTGACACTGCCTCTAGAACCGTTCTGCGAGCAGTCAGACATGCAGACCGGATTGATGTTTTGAAACTTTGACATAATAAACTTTAATTAAATCGACACAGGTACTCTAACCGCATGTGTTTTTTATATCGCGGACAAAAAAGTGGGGATTGTTAGGGTTAAGCAGGGAGTCACCGATGTTAGATCCCTCTCTGGGTCCTTTCATAGGTCACGGTCCTGACCCGAGATAGCTGAGCTGTGTCGCAGCCCTGACCTCAGACAGCTGAGCTGTGCACGCCGTCGGCTCGGCCGTCGGTCGCCACAGCCGCTGACGCCAGTGTCCAAACAGCTCCAAACAATATCCGGCCCTGTATAGCAGGATAAGCCATCAGAGGCGGGAGTGATCAATGGAGGGACGCGAAACACTAACGCCAAGGGGATGACAACTGCTGAGGAATAAAGAAACTACATGAGATGATGTTTTTCGTACTCCAGCGTAGTACGAAAAACATCATCTCACGCTCTCAGTCCCAGCGGATAAAAACAACACCTAGGAAAGAAACTACATGCAGGTACACTGGGAACACGTCATGCTGGAGTTGACGTGTTCCCAGCCCGTCCTGTACCATGCAGCCCGTTCCGGTGATCACTCCCGCCTCTGATGGCTTATCCTGCTATACAGGGCCGGATATTGTTTGGAGCTATTTGGACACTGGCGTCAGCGGCTGTGGCGACTGACGGCCGAGCCGACGGCGTGCACAGCTCAACTGTCTGAGGTCAGGGCTGCGACACAGCTCAGCTATCTCGGGTCAGGACCGTGACCCCCTATGAAAAGACCCAGAGAGGGATCTAACATCGGTGACTCCCTGCTTAACCCTAACAATCCCTACTTTTTTCTCCGCGCTATAAAAAAACACATGCGAGTTATAAAAAAACACATCCCTATCAACCAGTCCCTATCAACCAGTTAATTAATTCGACACAGGTACTCTAACCGCATGTGTTTTTTATATCGCGGACAAAAAAGTGGGGATTGTTAGGGTTAAGCAGGGAGTCACCGATGTTAGATCCCTCTCTGGGTCCTTTCATAGGTCACGGTCCTGACCCGAGATAGCTGAGCTGTGTCGCAGCCCTGACCTCAGACAGCTGAGCTGTGCACGCCGTCGGCTCGGCCGTCAGGCGCCACAGCCGCTGACGCAAGTGTCCAAACAGCTCCAAACAATATCCGGCCCTGTATAGCAGGATAAGCCATCAGAGGCGGGAGTGATCAATTGAGAGACGCGAAACACTAATGCCAAGGGGATGACAACTGCTGAGGAATAAAGAAACTACATGCAGGTACACTGGGAACACGTCATGCTGGAGTTGACATGTTCCCCGCACTGGCACTTATACTGATAGACCAGCCCAGCCTTCTCTTTGATCCCTAATTTGTCCTTGGGTTTGACGAGCCTAGCACTAAGGTTCGCTGCAGGTCTCGTGCTGACCTTCGCGTAGGGTCGGAGGACGCGCGTGACCTGTTCACTCACCCCCTGGATGTAAGGGATGCTTACATAAACCCGTTTGTCCTCCTCCTGTTCCCTGCCTACCCGTTCAGAACCACCACCCTCTCCCATGCGTAGTCGTTCTCTATTTTTTACCCGCCTGTGGATACGGCGCACCATTCGCTTTGGGTAGTGGTTCCTCACCAGTGCCCGTTCTATCTTCCCTGTCTCGCGTTCCTCGTCCTCAGGTGTTGTCGTGAGTCGTGATGCCCGTGTGAAAAGTGTCTGTGGGACTGATGCCTTGTGCTGTGAGCTGTGGTGTGATTCATAGTGAAGGTATTTGTCCGTATGAGTTGCTTTCCTGAAGACCTCGGTCTTCATGGTCCCCCCTCCCAGTCTATGTACCTTTACATCCAAAAAAGGTAAGGATCCCTCCTTTTCCTCCTCGAGCGTGAATTCAATCCTCTCGTGCTGAGCGTTGAGGTGGTCGAGTAGTTCACCTACCTGATCTTTCTTTAAGATCACGAACGTGTCATCTACGTAGCGTCTCCACAGTTTCACTGGGTGTGGAAACGACTGGAGTGCACTGGATTCGAACGATTCCATGAACAAGTTGGCCACCACAACGCTCACTGGACTCCCCATGGCCGTGCCCCACTTTTGCTTAAAGAACTTTCCGTTAACCCTAAAGTAAGTAGTACCCAAACAGAGCCGTAACAATTTTATGATATCCTCGACCTCCAGTGCTGTTTCCGCTCTTACCTTGCTTTCCTCATCCAAAAACTCTTCTTCGAGTCTCTGGCGTGCTACTTCACATGCTGCCTCTGTCGGTACCGATGTGAACAGCGCTTTGACGTCAAAAGAAACCATGGTCTCATCGTCACTGAGCGTAACATCTCGCAAACTCTCTTTGAAACTCGCCGTGTCCTTGACATGATGTTCAGACTTGCCTACCAGAGGAGATAATATGCTAGCTAAATGTTTGGACAGCTGGTACGTTACACTGCCTATGCTAGACACGATGGGACGTAGCGGAACGCCCTGCTTGTGCACCTTCGGTAGCCCATAAAGCAATGGCGGAGTCGGGTCCGACGGGTACAGTTTTAGATACGTTTTTCTGTCCAATTTGCCCTGTTGTTCTAAGTCCTTTAGCGCCCCCCTTACCTCTCGTGTGTATGTGATTGTGCCCCCAGGGGGTCCGGAAGCGGTGGGGAGTATGTTTCAAAAAAAATATTGTTTAATAAAATTTCGTTCATCGGGGGTGTTTTTCTTTCCGAGATGGTTGCCGACCTGCGCCGTGCTCTGGAACAACCTCAGGTGAGTGTTTTCGACTGGTAGATCCTCAAATGGTTGATAAACGAGTTGATTTTCTTGCTGTTTGACTTCTCTCTTGTTCAAACGTAATTACACATCTTTTTTCAATTGATGATCGGTCCGTTGGTTTCAAGCTGACAGATTCCTTTCCGCCACCGTTCCTTGCGCCTGGGGCTCGTCACAAACAATATTTATAATGAGGCTGGCTTGTCGCTTGTCAACATATAGTCTTCCTGCCTGGGATGGTGTCTGCATCGTAAGGAATTTTGGGATGTGGAGGTCTCCCCCTATCAACAATTTTTGATGCCTCCCGTAAGGGTCAGCCCTTAGCCACCGTCTGATTAGGGTAAATTACGAATCAATCCTTCTATTTCTCCCCCTTTTGTGCTAAAAAAAAAAATCACATCCCCGTTTGAGGTCACCTTTATGCTGAGGGTCAAATCTCCCGCTGGTCCTTACTCTACCGACGCATACATCAATCTGTTCACCGACGCACACTTCCTTCCATACAACGCTCATCCCACTACAATGAATTTCCTTCCGAGTTGACCTCTCGGCCCCTCCCAGCAATAATTCTACTTCCTCCAGCGGTGCATAGAAGTGCCTTAAACGTAAGTTTGGTTGCTTTTTTTTTGGATTCCGTGCTAAATGTAAAGGGGAAAAAAAGAGATAATTATCGTCTCAATCTTACCTCACAACGACTTATTGCGCCCTACTGTAACCTTGGATCTCTTGGTGCCCGTCCTAGCACCCTCCCTTGGCCCATTCTCGGCCCACTTAGCCTAGAACCCTACATCACTCGACCCGGATTACTTGTCTAAAGGTACGACGCAGTGTAGCGACTGGTTATTAGCGTTTGTCGACGGGTGAGATTGGTTCTCTCTCTCTCTCCTGCCGCTCACGGCACGTCTCAGTTTCCCTACTAAAATCCCGCGGCCGGACGTTGGTTACTGACCCTTGCAGCCCTTCTGTGAGAGACCGTCTTACACGTTTTCACCTAACGAACCGGTGGACACAACCCCTGCCGCCCCGACGACCGCAGTCTCACTGGGCTCATAGACAGGTACCTACTCAGTACTCTCATGCAGTCATGGCACCCGCAAGTGGCGCCTTTGAATCATTGACCGGTGTGACTCGAAGACTCCATGACTGAATCTATCCTGCAATTTTATCCGACGCCGTGGAATTCTGTCCTGCAGATGTGTGTTCAAGCGCGTTAGCGTCCTGAATGATACATGCTGTGATCTTTCCGACGGTGGACTTACCTCATTCCGGCGGTATTGCTTCCTTCGCCTTATTCCCTATCATCTTCGTATTTGTCACTCACCTTCAGTGGTACGCTCCCTCGCACTGTCTGGCTCTCTACCTTCTGAACTCACCTCTTTGTTTGGGCGTCTTATGGCGTCCTATTTGCTCCACTATCTTTACTTATTTCTTTTCAACGAGGGACCATCCCAGTCCAAGCAGGTTTCGACGTATCAGAGAGTTAGAAGCACATAGAAGTGCTGCAACATACCTCCTCTTCGGCTAGCATCAATCTTATACTTCCTTGCATGTCCCTGGTCTTCATTGTCAGAGATATCTAAGTATCCCACGGAAATCGGTTGGGCATCCCCCTTACCTGTCTAGTTTATGAAGGTGTAGGTCGATGTCCATCAGTCATCTTATCGAGATTCATCTTAATTGCAGTTGTGACTCGTACGTGTCGAATAACGAGGAACAGTCACGTAACTTTAATTTTCACGACAACTGTTACACCCGTCAGTACGCCACCACTTTGGTTAGCATCATGGAATTCCACCAGTGACGTCATTTATTTCTTATGATTGCTCAGTGTTGACCTTGGTAAGGGAGTTAACTCGTGACGCCTTTAAATCGTGGCCCTTGGAGAATGGCATCAAGATAACTACCACAGATAGGTCGGATTAATTTGGGGGAGCCCTGGACGAAGTTCCAAGACGGAGTACTGCGCCGGCAGCGAAATAGGGCCCAGGCTAAACCATATAATTTTTGCTGGAGGGGAAAACATATTCTACACACAAAAATTTGTACATCAGGGAACGATTCGCGATTCCTCAATTTAATCAAGGAACCCATATAGACAAAGATTTAAACCCTTCAAGCGTTTGTTCCAACCCCCACTATACCTTCGGTCATGTGATCGCCTTGGTAATCCTTGTGTTTGCAATGTTGTGACTTTAACAAAACAAAAAAAAGGTGTAATACCCTTTGAACCGTAATCGTGTAACCGCATTTCAAAATTTTGTATAACTTAACTTAACAAATAAACAAAAGAACGTGATATTTCGGGGTCTGTGTTTTGGCCAGTCCTTTTGCGACTCAGATTCTTTACCTACCTGATGGCCTGATAAGCAGATGGGCTTATGTAAACGAATCATTGAACCTACTGGGGCCGAAACTTTATCCCTCTTTCACTCCCGGATTATGATATCCGTTACGGTCCAAGGGCGGACATCGATACAAGTGGCGCTACTCTAGCGGTAAATCTGAGAACTACTGACCGATCTCTGGTCATGTGACCTTGACCGGCTCCTGAGATTGGGGTCACGTGACGCTCGGCCCGTCGGCGACCGCTCCGAAGCGAAAATTCAAGTTTGCAGTGAAACTTTGCATAGACGGACACCAATGACATACGATTCTAGATTAGTATTCGATACAGCGTTTAATTCTACACAGAATGACACTAAATTTAAGAGATTATCTGCCATCACTTCATCGCACTTTTTGTGGAACAGAAAGAATGTCGAGGCGACGTTGCATGCTAACGCAATGGGAGCGTAGCAGGGCGGCGTGCGATATGTACACATTTATTGCTTTTGCCAACAAGCAAGGCAATAGTAAATTGATTCTAGAATCATGTTTGGTACTAAATTTAACGGGCTATTCAATGCTACTAATTATTCGAAGAATTAAAATAGCAGCACGTCGCAGATTTCAATTTGCTTACTCGTTAATATTTCCCAGGTTAGGTATGTAGGTACTTATTCGGCATTGCTCGTCTAACAACATAAACCTTCGAGTTTGCGTCAAGTTTTCATGTTGATGCGCACAATGAAATGTCGATTCTAGATGGCTTTCCAATAAAGTGCTCAATTCTACACAATATGGCACTATTGAAAAAGGATAAATCTGCGCAATCCCTTCACTTCACCGCACTATTAGTGGAAGAAAAGGATATTGCATACCTATTTGCGATGGGAGCGGGGCGCCGCCGCGAACGATGCATGCTAATTGATTGTTGCCAATAAACAAAAGAATAATACGTTGGTTCCAAAATCTTGTCCGGGAACACATTCTACCGGCTTATTAATGATACCGGCTTTATTTTTCCTACTTGTCTTTACTTGGAGGCCCATGGAGCACTGCTGGCCATACATAAGCTTTCATCAAGTTTTATTGGCGTGCACGATAAAATGTCGATTCTAGACAAGCATTCGATACAGCGTTCAATTCTACACAGAATGACACCAACTTCGAGGGATTATCCGCCATCACTTCTTCGCACTTTTTGTGGAACAGAAGGAGTGTCGAGCCGACGTTGCATTTTAATGCAATGGGTGCGTTCAGTGCGGCGTGCGACGTGTGCATATTTATTGCTTTTGCCAACAAGCAAGGCAATGGTGAATTCAATCTAGAATCATGTTAGGTTCTAAATTCAATGGGCTATTCAATGCTGCTAATTTTTCGAAGAATTTGCATAACATCTCGTCGCAGATTTCAATTTCCTTTCTCGTTAATATTTCCCGGCTTACCTATTCGGCATTGCTCGCCCAACAACCATAACCTTTGAGGTTCGCACCAAGTTTTCATATCGATGAGCAAAATGATGTGTAGATTCTAGTTAGCTGTTTAATAAAGCAATCAATTCTGCGCAATATGGCACTGCTGAAAAGGATAATTCTGCTATCACTTCACCGTACTATTTGTGAAATAGAAGGATGTTACATCGTTTCGCGAGAGGAGTGGGGCCCCACGACGAACGATGTAGGTATGCTACTCGATTGTTTGTTGCCAATAAACAAAGAAATAATACGTTAGTTCTATAATCGTGACCGGGAATACATTTTATGGGCTTTGATACCGGGTTTTCGAGGAATGAGAATGATAACTCGTCGCAGATTTCATTTTTCCTACTTGTCTTTATTTGGAGGACCATGAGCACTGCTGGCCATACATAAGCTTTTATCAAGTTTTATTGGCGTGCACGATAAAATGTCGATTCTAGACAAGCATTCGATACAGCGTTCAATTCTCTACAGAATGACACCAAATTCGAGGGATTATCCGCCATCACTTCATCGCACTTTTTGTGGAACAGAAGGAGTGTCGAGCCGACGTTGCATTTTAATGCAGTGGGTGCGTCCAGGGCGGCGTGCGATATGTACATATTTATTGCTTTTGCCAACAAGCAAGGCAATGGTGAATTCAATCTAGAATCATGTTTGGTACTAAATTTAACGGGCTATTCAATGCTGCTAATTTTTCGAAGAATTAGAATAACATCTCGTCGCAGATTTCAATTTCCTTTCTCGTTAATATTTCTCGGCTTATACCTATTCGGCATTGCTCGCCTGACAACCATAACCTTCGAGGTTCGCACCAAGTTTTCATATCGATGAGCAAAATGATGTGTAGATTCTAGTTAGCTGTTAAATAAAGCAATCAATTCTACACAATATGGCACTGCTGGAAAGGATAATTCTGCTATCACTTCACCGCACTATTTGTGAATTAGAACGATGTTACATCGTTTCGCTAGAGGAGTGGGGCCCCGCGACGTTAACGATGTAGGTATGCTACTCGATTGTTTGTTGCCAATAAACAAAGGAATAATACGT